AAATTAATGAAGTCAAGGAGCATCATTTGCAAAAAAAAAGAAGAAAAACAGAAGTTGACGCATATGAATGCCTTCAAAGAGTTTTTTTCAGTAGAAGCTACAATTTCGCTTACCACAAGAAATTAAAATTTTAATAGCACAAATTGAAACGTCAAAAACTTCATCAGAAAAATAAAGCAATTTACTGGGTCGTATATTGACAACCATATGCTGTGGCCGTAACTGAACTGCTTCTTCTTCACTTGCTGCATCACCGGCATTACTCAATTCAACATTCTATAATAAAATAAAAACTTCAATATATATAATACTATTCACATGACTTCTTCTTTTTAGTTGCTTATTTTAAGTTGTAAACTTCAATATGTAAAAATGCATGAAAAATGCAAGAGTGAAACACTTATAGACGATATACTTGTATAAACCATAGTCCAGTTTTTGCTTTTATTATCCGCCTTAAGATATCTCTAATTATTCAAAAATAACGCCAATAACGGTTGAAGATCCCTGCTAATTAAACAAACCTCTGTTGTTCTCACTGTTGTTTTAGGATTTTCAATTTCAAATTCTGGACAACCATGTTCAATAAGCCTCTCTAAACTATCACATCGCGGATGTTGATTTTCGTTGTCGAAATCCTAAGAAAAAAAAGATTTGACATTTTTGTTTCAGAAAAAAAAGCCATCATAATTTACATAAATTTTATTCAAGGTTAAATTTAACTCACAATGATATATTAAAATATGCAATATAGCATGCTTCAATTGATTATTAATATAATAAACCAAAACATACTGCTTTACTACACCAGGCGCACGTATCGTGGAATTGAATGCATGCACTACATGTGTAATTTTCACGAGGTAAAGAATAACACGGGAAATCTTTCTTTGATTCAACTATTTCTGATGTTGCTGCAATAGAAAACTATTATATGCATATTTAATTCATTATATTTAATACCAATTCAATTCAATGGTAACAATTGTAGTTTAAATTATTGAATAACTTAACATTTATGCGAGCTATTGAAGTTAATAGATAACATTAGTGTGTTTTGAATAGGACACGTGAAAAATAATTTATGATTTTAATTTGATGAACAGATGAATACGTGAAAAATAATTTATGACTTTAATTTGATGAACAGATGAATACGTGAAAAATAATTTATGATTTTCATTTGATGAACAGATGAATATTATGATTTTTTTACACAACAAATTATTCAAAAATTGAAACTTCCAAAAATATCTTTTTTTCCTTTTTTTTAATGTATAAAAAACTCATGGATTCAAGTCATTCCTAGAATCCAGTAAGTTTTTAAGCGACAATTTTCCGGAATAATCAAATCATTTTGAAGATAAGAGAAAATAATGCATAAATACCATCATCAGTAGTAAATTCTTGTGCCCCAACGATGAAAATCGTTGTTGAGAGGCATATCATGCGACACCATCCAAGCCTCGTCAACCAACGATCTCTCATAGCGATTAAACAGCGCTAACTGCAATAAGTAATTCAGATAAAAATCAATAAATCATTATTAAGGAAGTGGAATGTCGCTATTTCATGAAATGTGAAGAACGCAATTTGTTCTGATAAAGTATATTCGAAACAAATTTCAGCAGAAGTCAAAATGTTAACAAAAATTCATATTTTAATGAAGCATTCTGCCAAAGTAAATTTATGTTTTGCACAAAGTAAATTCTTAGCAAAAAGTTAGAGAATTTTGAAAAAAAACTTATGTTTTGCACACTTGATTATGAATAAAAAAATAAATATATTTTGTGTTCAATAAAATGTTAAGAACAAAATAAAATATTTTGCTTTCATTTTATACATCGTTTCAAGTAATTTCACGTTGAATTTATTCAGAATGGCCATGTCTTCTTACTAAATTCAAATTTAGCATTTAACAATTTCATTTCAGAAATTATGAATTTATGTGATTCAATCATATCATTGTATCTCTTTGAATCAGATATCAGTATTACGATGAAAGAGTTCACTGTTAGTGAAAGGAATTGTCCTGATAATGACCGGAGTGATAAAGAGTGAATTCCAGGCTTATAATTCATTGATAAAATTCACTAATAAGCTAATAAATGGATCATATTTCATAAAAAATAGAGTCAATCATTTAAATTAAACTTTTAGTACAAATAATTTAAGCATTTATTGGATGTATTATTATTACTGATGCAAATTTTTTAAAAGTCGGTCATATTTCATAAAAAGATAGAATCAATCAAGTAATAAAAATTAAAATTATTTAAAATGAATGCGAACTGATTAGTTTTGGATTAAACCGTTTAAAGAAGTTACGATGACCACAAAAACCATCAGAAAAACCGATACTGGAAAGAAAAGTAGCATCGTTAGAACTGGTCGATTAAGCATGTTTTATCCAATGACTTCAAAATAAAAATTTTGTTGGTAGATGAAAAAGTATTCTGACAATTTGGAGGAACCTTAGCATTTCTAATTTTAAAATTTAATAAAGCATTTTTAAAAAAAAAATCGGATAAATTAATACAAGCAGTGTAATTGATCGAAAATAAATCATCATATTGTCAGTCTTCTTTTCCTGATATGAAAAGGAATGCAAGATGAGAGTTCCGGATTAAGTAATACAGAACAGGAGAGAAAGACAAAATTCATCATAATGATAATTATACACAACAAATGATAATTATATTGGAAGTCGTTCTATTTTTACATTTGATCAAGTTAGAAGATTACATGATTTACACCTGTTTGTTAGCCTTTAACCGGATCCGTAATTGAAGCATAAAAATTTGAACATTCCTAATGACGCATTACAAAATTCTGTTCCTACAGCTAATCACAAATTACAATTTTGATGAAATGAGTCATCATAACCTAGCTTTAAACAATTTATGACTATACCAATGTCTGATATATAAATATCATTCCATCAAATTTATAGCCATTACAGATAGTAAAACCTTTTCCCATATGATAAATTTATTTTTCATTTTCTGTTTTTCTAGATTTAAACAATTTTACATAGTAATTTTAATTTTTTGAATTAAAGGCTAACATAATAAATGTTTCAATGAAATAATACAGTAGAGTCAAAGGTTAATCTTTTGAAGAATTAAAAATTGCTATTACAGCAACAAAACGAAAAATAAGTAAAAAATGTAAGTGAGACAGTTGCTCTTCAATTCTTAAGGCTTTTCAATTACAGCAATCACTAACCACTGCAAGAAGTAATCGTTGTGTATGGCTCTGTCTGTGTGTGTATGTATGTGTGTGGGTGTGTGTGGGGAGTGTGTGTGTCTGTCTGTCGACCTATCATCATTTTACTCATCTGTTCTTGTCTCCATCGGAAACTGAAACTAATGGACGAGGAGGTCGGATCTATTCTGGATGATAAGATGAGTGAGTGGTAGATGAAATGCTGCTATAGCTACTCCTCCACTTTCTTGTTACCTCTGGTAGCATAGTATGTGTACCCTGCCTGCATAAATATGTAGTCTGCATTATCACTAATCAAAAATTACAACAAGAAAAAGCAAATAAATTGTATTGTATGGTATCATCAAGGTACCACACCACAAAAGTACCTGACAAATGATATACAGAACAGATTAATACAAGAGAATATAAGGGAGAGAGATGCATCGTAGTATGTGATAGCTTAGAGATAGTATAACTGTTGATTTATATATATACATTCATTGTGTTGTAATTCGATCAATGGATTTAACTAACTGGTTGGTCCATCTCTGGTCATCTTCTCCTACCACTGACAGCACAACAATGACCTTTTTAATACAGCTAACACTCTTCAAAATTTATCACAAATTATCACTTCCGAATTTGTTATCAATAATAATGCTACAACTTATATTTTTATCTCTTTGCCATACCAAAGATAATTTATATTTATGTTATAATTAGTCAATTATGGGATGCAAAAATTGTAACAGAAGCAATAATATTGTATGAATGTATCACAAAAAATTCATTGCATATTATGTATAATCAATTCTTTAATCATACTGATAGCTAAAGGAATAAAATGATCATTTCTGCTTATTCGATTAAAATTATAATGAAATGGGAAAAACTTTTCGATATATACATATTTTGCAAAGAAAAAAAAAAACAGTACATATTATTATATGTAAATACCTTTCAGAAAATAATAATTCTTGAAATCAATTTTCAAATTTGGACAAGTATCCCATGTATGAGATGATCAGATGGAATCGGTGGTCCTATATGATCTAGATAATTTCGATTGTTCCATCAGTATTGACTACCACAACTTTTGAATGAAATTCCAAGGATTTCAAGATAAAAAAGAAAAAAAAAACTGATAAGATCGTGAGGAAATCAGAGTTCAGAATAAATTATCAACATCGACAGAACACACAAGTAGAATTCTAAAGATTCTGATAATCAACTAACGCTAGACTTCTTTAGTGATGAAGCTGACAACAACAATATAAAATCAATATATAATTAGATAAGTCGTCAATCAATGAAGACATAAATAAATTCTCCATAATTAGAAAAACCAAAAAATTGAAAAACAATTGCATTAACCATATACTACAGGTGAAATGACAACTTTCATCCGATTTCACTAAACAACGATCTGTATGAATATTAGAAAGGCAATAGCTTATTGATAGATGAGGCAGATGAACTGCATTTTATGCAGATTAAAATTGGAAAATTTCTTTTTACATAATAAGACAAATACAATGGAAGTGTAAATGGAAATGACTGAGATCAGCTTGTGAAAAGCATTTTCAGCAAGAAATTTTTAATTTTACAAAAAACGAAACTAATATTACAATTTCATGAAAAAATAACGGTTATATAAAAGTTTACAGGGAAAATCACCTCAATTAAATAGCAGTGATGATAAGTCTGTGAGTACGAGCACAGCCAAGAGTTAAATATGAAGTAGTGATTACAGTCACAATTTTTAAAGGACAGGTGGGACATGGAAGCCTTTATGAAATATCTGTGTGAGATGGTTGCATTCCACTTGCGGTATTAGCAACTGAAGGTGTGCCTCCACTACCACTTGGTGGTTGCGATGTTACATAGCGTTGTTGAACACTGGCCTGATTTGAAAGAGTTATTGGCGGTAGGTACTGTGTTTGCTGAGCTGGAATGCTCGCAGAATGATCTGAAATATTCAAAATTTATAATAGTCAGACCGGAAGTGTAGAAAAAAAAGGTACATCGTATTCAAACAGTAATTCAGATAGAGCAATATATATCACGTTTGAAATATTAGGCCATTAGTCGCTAATTAACTTCACTTTCAACTTCAATGAAGATGGAAATGTGGATTCAAGAGCACCTTGTAACATAGTGGGAGTCGAATTGCTGATACCTTGTACCGCGACGGTTACCTGTCTGGTATTTGACGGAGCACTCGAAATTGTTTGTCGCGAAATACCACCTAAACAAATTTTATGCGGCAATAATAAAAGAGATTTTATAAAAATGACATTTTGCCCCTCTTACGCCCACTTCAGTTTATAATCCAAGTAGTGTTCCCAAAACCCAATCTAAAAATTGAATATGCTTTAGGAACAAGCGCCGAATCAATACAAAAGATAAAACATAAGTAAAATCACCTCAATTAAATAGCAGTGATGGTTAAAGACCCAGAAAATAAGCAAAATAATAAAAACCAAGAAGGTCAAACATAAAAGTTAAGTTCTGTAAAATTGCTACGAATTGATTTTGAACGACATTCGTTATGAAAACCAATGTTTAACTGTGTTTAGTCATCAACATCAGGATCCAAAATAGTGCATATTCACCTGCAGATGGTAACTGCTTGGTTGTTGCAGAAGCAGTGACATTTTCACTGTTTCTCGAACTGCCACTCATAACTAGTCCAATTGATGGAACACGAGAGCTTTGATAACCAATGTTGCGTCTTCAATCAGTAATGGTTAAATCTTGCTGAGGACAATTAAAAAATGCTTGAAACATAAATAACTTAGTATCAAACGTGAGATAAAGTTTAAGGCATCCACTACCATTGGCCATCATAAGTTAGTTATATAGAGCAAAAAAACTTCGAGGACTCGGTGAAAATTTGGCAGTAAACTTACGGTATTGTTCGTATCTGTTGTACAGGACTTCCACGTGGCAACATCATAGCAACCTGCAAAATCAAATATAATTCTTAATTTCATAATTTTACCTCAGCACATTTGGTTTTCAACATAGTTGACAGGTTTTGTTAAATTTAAGGATGCCAATCATATAGCAACAACTTCTAAAAAAATTGATGAGTGTTCATCTAAATTTCAAAAATTTAAACTTCAGTTATAATCAATAATTTAAACAGATCACCTGTGGTTGACCACCAATTGTTTTCGCATGTATTGCACCTGCAGTACGTTTTTGTGTAATTCGTTGTCCACTAGGCATCATTCGCACTTGTGATTGCGGCATCAGGTAAGTCCTATCGCCAGCAGCTGTTGTGACATATAAACGACCCTGTTATAAAAAAATTTATTGTTAGATCACAGTTACGTAAATAATTACTGACATAAAATCCCTACACATTCAGGAAAATCCCAAAGCGCATGATAAGAAAAAAAAAATAGCTTCAAGTTTTAATATACTATATATTAAACAGCCAGATGAAATAGAGATGAGAAAAAATATTTAGTAAAATCATAAAAATTATTTCAGCATGCTTTTGAGAAAGTAAGCAAGGAAGTTCATGCAAAAAGAAACGATGTGCAAAAGAAAATAAAAGATAACCGGTGTTCGCTGATTTATTTTAGTCCGAGCATCTTGTCGTATAGACATCCCACCAGTTTGGATTTGTGGTCGAATCATTTGTATTTGACCCGTTTCGCTTAGTTGTGAACCATCTCCTTGCGACATAATCAGCGTTCGTCCAGCATGTGATGTGGTTGCATATATCTGCTGTTGTGCTTCCGGAGATGTTCCGTATCCGGTCGCAATCTGGAACATTTTTTGCTGAAAAAAAAAAGATTTTTAAAGGAAAACAGTAGATAAATCATATATTAATTCAATATTTTTTCAAACAATGCCTAAAGAATTATCAAAACAATAATATATCACTTTCACCAACCACTTCCAAAATTTTTCTCATGATAGAATGCAAAGTTAATGATATAAGCATTTTGACAAAGATCAGAATATAGTTAACCCTTTGTGCAGTAGGTGCAGAGAGCCCTTTTTTTGTTCCAGTTGATGGTATTGTTCGATAAACAGTCTGTCGCTCAGCTACACCTTCTTGCCGCGTTGTGTACTGGAAACGACTACCAAGCTGTTGTCCAGACAGCTATAAATCAGAGCAAAACTATATTTCTACAACGGAATTTTATTAATAAAAAATATAAACTACAAAAAAAGTAACGCCACTATCCACAAAAAAAAATATTTTCTTACAGTGTCTTGAGAATTAACAACAACAGCATATGGTTGTTGGCCTCCAGATGATCCCATTTGTGCACCACCTGTCATAATAATTTGATGTTGAGTTGAAGTTCCTGAACCAACCGAAATCGCGACACGCCGAGTACTGATCTGGTGAGCACCAGGTGCAGCACCGGATACAGCCTGGAATTTCGGAAACTGAAAATTTGAATTTCTTATAGTATTAAAAAATAAAACAAAATGATTATAAACTCCTTTCTTTTTTGACACAGAATATTACTACAATGATTCCTCGGTTTACAAAATGAAATATGAAAACTTATCATACCCAATACAAATTTAAGTTTATTCAGTATAATAGAGATGAATATTACAACAGAAAGTTGTTCTATTCCCTATTTCACACCATATTTGAAATCAAGTTCTGCAGTTCAATGAAAATAACACCCATATTTAAATCTTTGGATATGCAATTTAGTTCAATTAAGCAAACACTAACAATCCATAAACTATACAAACATTCAAATTCAGAAATCACTCACCACTTGTGGGTGATCAACATAAGTTCGTTGACTAACAATTACTTGGGGAGCATCACCTGCATATGTTGTACTTTGTCCAGATATATTGCTTACAAGTTGACCTTGAACGCAACTACCAGAAGCTGCAAAACAGTCAAGAAAATTATTATGATAAAACAAATGAAGTATAAAAAGGAAAATAACGAAGCTGCTTTTTATAAATATTAAGTATTTATGACCAAAACAAAATGTTCTGCATGCATCAAATTGTGAATGCATTTAAAACACAACATAATATAAATCTTTGAATAAATGGAAAAAGAACTAAAAAGAACTGTTCACTAACTATATGTTCTCACAGTCGAAACAGCAGGGGTAGTTATCACTGGTGCTGAAGCTGCAGAAAGTTGTTGCTGTGCATGTTCCATAACAGCTCCATAACTTACTTTCTGATAATGTATAATACCAGGGATTGCAGTAACTGCCGATTCTTTACGAATTAATTTCTGCTCATGACTTCGTTGTTGTTCGATAATCTAAATTATTATTAAAATGCTCCAATTTTACCTATTATCTGTACCTTTTAAAGATCTTTTTCTACTGCAGCATAATTGAAATTCAGTAGAATACCATACCATGTCAAACTCACATATTCCAAAATTAGAACTGATATAATCTTAGTCATAAAAATAAGACTGCTCGGCTACCGTGATGGTCAGATCATCAATTGTCAACTGAACCATCTGGCATTCTTCAAGCACTGCAACTCTACTTCCTAATACAGACAAGGATCTTATATGTGCTACTCCGTCTTCATAAAAGTATTAGGATTCTTACAAATAACCTTAACAAACCAACCATAGCTTCCTTCTTTTGCTCCTCCTCTTCTTTCAAACGCGAACGTTCACGATCCTGCTCACGTAACTTCTCCCGTCGTTCATTACGATAATCAACTACTTCAGAACAAGTTGTTGTAGCATCGTAACGTATTCCCAACTCAGCGAATTTCAATTCTTGGGACTGCGTAGGACACCATTTTTCCATATCATCGTCAGCTACAGTAAGTATTCCAATGAATTACAACAAAATAAATTATTTCCGTAAAGTCTCAAAATACATGATACTTATATCGCAAGATATGCAGAGATGAGATTGTTCTGAATGCATTATTTTTTTGTGCAGATTTCACATTTTGGCACAATTAAAATGAAATATTTTAGATGTCTTGGTAAGAATTATTTAAAAAATGTTACTCGTTTTAGGACGGAATAAAACAGTTTGCTTTAGTGATGCTGCTCTCAGCGCTTTAGCTTTTTTATCATATTGATTTGACATGAGCTTAAGAATGTCGGCTAAGTACTGCTGATCGGTTTTGGTACGCCCACGCTTCATGTGAACTGCAAATTGGCATATATGCGATATATATATGGCTATAATAAAACTACTGTTTCATGCTTAACTATTTGATTATTATTTGCACTGAAACCCTTTCAATCAAAAACTTTTTAAGACTGTAGGTCAACAAAGAAGCTTTAGTCGTTTTTATCGACCCAAATTTCCCTACAGCAGAAATTACGATTCAAACTCGGTTCGGATGCTAGTTTAACAATAACATAAAACATACTACTTGTGCAACTTACTCATTTCTCCAGTTGATAGGGGAACTCTCCGTGTTTTTTTCGTTATTGGATCCAATGTAACCATACGTCCTTCTTCACGTGGTTGTACAACCATTTGGTAATGTAATGAGCACTGTCGTGGTGAACTTAACAGATTTTTAATAAAGAGAATATTTTTTTTTTAAAAAAAAAAGGAAAAAACAATTAGCAATATCAGTGGGACTAAATAAAGATGAAAGTTACTTAATAATCTCAATTCAAAGTGTTCCTTAGTCTTTGCTTGTTAGGATTCAGCTTTCATTTTCTTGGATCGCTACTTGCATTCACATTATGAATGCCACGACATATCATAAGAGTTAAATTAACGAAAGAAATGATCAATAAACAATATAAAGCTCTTCAAATCAACAATAAAAGTGAGGAAAAACCACAAAGGATAATTATGCAAAGATGCCAAAACTTACCGATAAATTTCGGATGATGTGCCTAACAAAACCGATACCATGTCCCAGTTTGCGTATTGCCCAATTTTCGATGAATGTAAATGATTTGGTAATCGTTGCAATTCAGTTAAAACCTGAAAAGCACAACATACATAAGTTAATTAATAATTCAAGTTTCTCTCTAAACAAGGAACAAAAATCTAAATTTAAAAAACGCAACCAAATTTAAATAACAACCATGAGCGCCTCATAGTCTTCTGCAATACTCCATTCTGTTCCATCATAATCGATTGCTTCGCGATATCGTGGAGGTGGTGTGAAAGGACGTCGTAATTCAGTTTTTCCAGAACGACTATCAAGCAAGCTGGGACGACCGCTAAATGAAGCCATGATTCAAATACCAATGAAATACACACATATCTCTCCAACCACAAAAGAAAGAATAAATTGAATAATAATTTAAGCTTTTCTAAAAGATATGCTTTTTCCTAGATTATTTACAACAACTTCTATAATTTACTTTTCTCTCTACCTGAAGTGAAAACATATCGTCTAAAGCTGTCTCCAGCTAAATCTTAAGTTTCAAAAACACTACGTAGTCTGCGCTAAAATTCGAAATCGAAATTTCTACCTTCCAGGTTGAGATCTCTGTGTTCCTTGAGCAGATAATGCTTTTTGTGCTGATTTTCGCACGCTATCAATTGCATCTAAATAAATCACACACTTACAATTATAGAAATACAACTATCCCAGGATTTCGTGAAGTCCGACAAGTGAAGAATTTCATCAACAAAAAACGAATTTTTAAAAAACCAGTTTTGATTAAAATTAAAAAATCGAAATAAAAATTTGAATTTATCTAACATATAATATACCATCAACAGAACCAGGCAAACATGAAGGTGTAGTAGGTCTTAATAGATTTGATGTATCAAGGTAAGCAGCACCAGATGATACACCCGTTTGAGGCATTAAATTGATACCACGTTCATGCGAAATTGATGACAGCGATGCGGTAGGAGATGATACGATATCACGGACTATACCACTAGCCACTGCAATTTATTTTGTGAAAAAATTTGACTTTCTAGTCGCATAAACTCATTTGACATTCACATAATTGAGAGTTGTTCTAAGTAAATTTTTGTCTATTTCCCCAAGAATTTAAATCAAGTAAATAAAAAAGAAACTAACCAGTACACATGCCAGTTGGTGATGGAGGTAGTGCAACAATTGGAGGTATTGCAACATTTGTTGACATTGAACCGGGTGTCATTTGATATGCTGCCGATGATGAAACTATAATTTCAGGTACAAATTGTTCCGGGACGAGTGATGAAGTTGGTGTAAGTGGTCGAGGACGATGAAGTTCATGAATTGTAGTTGGTAAGCGACACTCAGCCATGGGTAATTGCTCAAACCAATATTCACCAGTTGAATCATAGTAAATATCATCACCACTATCAGAGGGTGGAGGCGACGGTGGTAGCCAGGTCTGAAAAGAAATTTATGCAATTTTTTTGTATTTCCAAATGCACCATGTTCGTTTCAGCAAATCATGAACAAACCATGATTTTATATTTTTTCATAAACGAATAGCAAAATTCGAATAATTTGGAAGGAATGAAACAAGCGCAAAAAGAGATCAATAATGAAATAACAAACCAGCATCTCTTCGCCAGGTATATCCAGGCAAATTACCTGAAATCAAGTTCAGTGATCCAAATTTAAATTGAAATTGCAATATAACATAAAATCACACACTACTTGTTGTTGTTTCCGATGCTGCCAACTTAATTACATCAAAGAAAATTGAAAGATAAATTCATAATTTCAATAGTTTTGGTTCATCAAGCATCTCTTTTCAGAAACAGAAAGTTATTTCAAATCGCAGATAGTTACAGCTACTCAAATTAGAAATTAAATGGTTTAACATAGATGATATAAGCTCTTTTGCTGAAGAGTCCGAATATGATTCCTTCTGCCTTCAGTTTCGTCATTACAAAAAATTGTATGATCGAAGAACCTAATCATTTGCAACATTATTTCTGTGTACTGCAAGTGAATTCATACAATCTTTCTATATTTTAGAAATATCTTGTAAGTTCTCATGATCACATTAAACTGGCTCTTCATTTTGGTTGCAATCTATCAAGCTCGATAAGTCTCAAAACTACAATTCATACTCAAAAGCATGTAGCGAGAGGGCTTTTGCTCAAACGTACCAACTTCAAAAACGATATTTTAGTGCACTCCCTCTTATAACGCAAGCTTTTCTCTTTTCAGAAACAATATATCTAATATGATTTGGTAATTTTATTTCCCTAACTAATCTTTCCAAGGTATAAATTTCCAGAAGTTTGAAATGTTCGAGAGAAACGGGGAAATTTTTAAACCTTCTTTCTAAATGTCACATCAAAATTTATGTCACTCATAGATCATTTCGTTGTGGCTATTGTGAAACCTTGCTCTTTCTTTCAATTTTTCGACAACACACTTGAGAAGCCATTTGCATGATTTTTCATAACCCTCCTTCTTTTCAAACTTCATGTCACCATAGCAAACACTAGACAGGGTACAAGCCACTGAAGATTAAGTTCCAGAAAATTTTAAGCTTATTAAAAAGGCCTCACAAGCGTGGAACATGTGAAAAAAAAAATTGTCCTTAATCAGAGCAAGGCCTCACATGTGTGTAGTCGAAAATGTAAACACAAAAAATTGTTTCCAAATCTTTTTTTTCTTAAATACTCAACAAGAAGAAAAATCAAACACGTAGGAAAAAGAACAAAAGCTTTAAAATATAGCAAGGTTTCTCAAAATACACAACTAACAATACATGAGCAAATAAATTTCCGTAGGTGTATATGTTTAGTATCATCAACTAATGAAACCACAACATAAGTGTAAAAAAGAGTTTTAATAAGTTTTTCTAGGAATAAACCTTGAGATTTGTTTTAAATTACACGTATGACATATGCCGCACGCTACAATGCGTAACAGTTACCAATCATTATTAATAAACGACAGCTCAATACTACAAATTAAATCACATGCTTCGGATTTTTCAGATATAAAAAGTCCTGCTATTGAAATAAATCCTCAAAAATTGTGACGGACTTTTATATTCATCTTCTGACTAATTTTGAATGACGACTTAACAATTAATTAGAATATATACCTGTAAAACCTTCAAAAAACTACGAATACTATAATAAACAATCCTCTTCTTTAACATCAGTTAAGGTTAAGCTATCCAGATTCTGAAATGTTTTCGGAACCCGTATTCGAGATGGATGAGGACTCAGTCTCACCACTCCTAGACTCACCACGTTTCCGCAAACACAGTCTGGGCCGTTCATAGTCACCTAATGTCGGTTTTATTCGCATTCCCGGCAGAGACTGATGATTTGAAGCCCTATGTATCGAAGAAACTGGTTTCACAAATTCAAAGCTTCCACTTTCACATCGTCTTCTTATCGCTGTTGCTTGGGTTGAAATTTTTGACGATCCAGCGGCAGTATGTAGATGCTGCGATGATCTATATGAATTTGTAACAGATGGTGACGAGAATGTTTGACGACGAACCAGTGATGTCCTGTCACCTCCCACAACCGAATAAGAGGCTGATAATGACGGCGAGAAACTAGTAAAATCACTGATCCTGGATGAAGTCTTAGAACTGGAAGTGGACGATAACAATGGAAACGATGATGTACTAAAGGATGAAACTGAAGAATTTGATATACGAGTGGAACTGGGCACAGAGCACATTGCATTCGATGATTTGGTGAAAGCAACTGAAAGAGGGACAACTCTTGCACAGGAACTTTCTTTCACACCCAATCTCGTTTGCCGTGATAGCGCTGCTTTAGGCAACTTCTCGGTCGACAACTTTTGAATAAAAGACTTGGGTTGTGACTTTGAAACTAATGAAGATAAATTGGTCTCAGATTCGGACTGAACTTGAACACTAATTTTATCTGTCGTTTTCCGTAATTTAGTTACTGCTGTCTTGGTAGCAGCCGTACTTTCCGAAATAGATTGTGTTGCCTTATTCTGAAAAACACGTGGAGACGAACGTATTTTCAACGAAGAGAATGTTGTTGAGCGTAAGTTGTGTGAATGTGACTTATGCAATTGAGGCCTAAGTGTAGCTAAACGTGATGCCGATGGTTTTGAGCGTACCTCGTCCACAGAACCAGGAACGTCGGAACCAGTAAGATATGTCAATGAGATCTCATCATCGCTCTGGTTATCACCATTGTCTTCTTCCATCGCGTCTTCTTGAGCTTTCATCCACTCATCTTTTTTTGAATCAATCATAGCCTGCAATTGAAAACATCAGTTTTGCAGAGGTCCAGTCATTTTATTACAGTTACCAGCGGCAAAGAAGGACTACAACTGCAAACAAATCCAGTTTAGTAAAAAAGGAAAACAAAATAATGGTTTTCAAAATGAGAGAATACGTTCTTGTACACTTGAAGATTATTATTACTCCATTTCCTAAAAATTTGAATGATGTTGATTTGACGTATTCTATCATTCAACACACCATCATTTGTAACCGCAGTAAACGACCAAACGGCAATCAATTCTGTTCTATTCGAAGTAGATGATACTGAAAATGACTGAAATTACAATAACCTTAGCCTCTTTTACTTCTTCTTCAAATTCTGGCTTGTATTCCGCTTCCAGAAAATTGACTGCGTACCGTTCGATTGGTTTTAACTGAAATAGAAAAATGATAAAAACTCATTCTAAATATCATATCTATTTCAGACAAAAATGTTCTCAAAACACTCTATATTATGTAAAGGACCAAAAATGCTTATAACCATTAAATTATGCTAAGAAAAGATAAGAATGGAGAAAAATAATATACTTGATTTATTAGTTCTAAATATTTCGATTCAATTTTTTCTTGATTGTTCTCAACGGAAGCTATTAAACCATTTTCATCGAATTCTGCAATATCTGCTTCTACTTCAGCATTCGCTCGCTGTGCTGCATGAACGTCTTGTATATCCTCAACTTTTGCCATGGCCTAAAAAAAAAAAAAACAAACATCGGTTCAGAATAAACACTATTTATGCGATTTGAGTGATAACAAAAACGATAATCTATATAAAAACGTGTTTAAACGATGACATTACGCTGGAGATACAAAACATTCTGTTAAAGATAAGGACAATCTGAAACACACATTTATTTTCCGAAGTTAAATAATTTCAAATGCAAAAACGTACTTTTTCAATTTCTTTATTATCCATCACAGCCACTGGAACAACGACATCGGTTACATTTGCAACACCTTCGAACAAGTCTCTTACATTATCCCCTTTGAAAAATTCCGGCGTGAATCCCGCCTCATCAATAGCCATTTCACCGAGACGTCGCTTCTGCATCGCTTTTCGCAGAATATTTTCTTCAATTGTTCGTTCGCTAACTAGACGGTAGATTGTGACATTTCGTGTCTGACCAATCTAAAATCAAAAGTTCATCAAAGCTCCAAAAATTTCACAGAATTTTAAAACTTAATCAGAGTTTCAAACCCAGTTGTATCTAATTTTAAGCTAATTAAGCAGGTAATAAACTATCAATGTGTTTGTTTTCTGAACTTACACGATGACAGCGATCTTGCGCTTGTGCATCCATAGTTGGATTCCAATCGGAATCATAGAAAATCACCGTATCTGCTCCAGTCAAATTAACACCTATGCCACCCGATCGAGTTGATAGAATGAAACAGAAAATCTTTGGGTCGGCATTGAAGCGTTCAGTCATTGCCTAAAAATATCTCGGAATTAAAGTTCTTGAAGTTCAAAAATTGATTACCGCACCTTGCTCTCTTTTTCCCTCATTTAAACATTTTTTATACTCTTATATTCTTTTTTGCAATATTTTTTTCAAACAAAAAGCCTTTTTGTTACCTTACATTTATGTTGCAACTTCTATTTTTCTCTAAATTAAAGCTAAATTAAAATTACTAAATTCTTTAGTAGAATAGAACTTAATTTCTGCTATGTGGATTACGAATAAGCATAAAGAAATTGGAAAATTCGGAATATAAGCAACTTCTACTAGACAAAGACAAAACTGGATGTAGCAAACAACTTGGCAAATAAAGTTACTTGTCTCTGTTCAATTCCAGTCGTCCCATCCAGACGAAAATACTGATAACCATGGAACGACAAGAAAGCTTGCAAGATATCCAAAACCCGTGCCATCTGTGTAAAAATTAGACAGCGATGTTTGTAAAGGAAGAGGTCATGCAACAAGCTGTTTAGTACTTGGAGTTTACCTGAAGTTTCCTTATAAAAGAGTAACGTTAATCTTAACACTGCCACAAGTACATGAATCCATATCCAAAGTTTTTCAAAAGAATATTTTCATTTATGTGACAAGGAAAATGAATGAAAGATTATGCATAAATGCAAGTAAAGATGGGTATACAAATATAAACTAAGAAAGAACGTTTACCACAATCATATTCAATTAATCGTAATTCCGGAAACTGGAGCTTCTGCATCATATCTATATTAGAAAATATTCTGTTAGAATTCAACACCATCCGATGACATTCTTCATTCAAATCATCCCATTCTTTTCTTATGTAGGCATGGCATCCGGTAGTATTAATTTGCAAAACAGGTTCATCTGCTAAAGCGCCATGTACGAAAACAGTGAACCTGTGAAATTACAAAGTATAATAAAAGCTCTTATAATTTATAGTTAATTTGAATACCTTTAGTTAATTTGTTAATTTAATTTGAATCGACAAGCTTAAAAAGTTGGAAGTATATTGTCATTTCGATTTTTTCCAATAACAATGCGAAGGACCAGCAACTGCTAGAATTTTGCATACTTCGTTAAAACCAAGCAATAAAATGGATTTATTCCACTTCTCAGAAGGAGTATGAAATATCAGTTCACCTTTGTGATGCATCACTAGTCCAATCAACCAACGACTGTGTCAACCATCCTAACGAATCTACAATAAACGAATAATTGAATATTTGATAATTGTAAAACATTACGGGACAAATATTTCTCTTATAAAAGAAACTTGAAACTGTATCATAATTTGTCACCGGAAAAAGAAAACAAAGTCTGCTAACCTATTGTTGATAAATTGTAACGATGATGTTTCGTCCGACCTAATTCTTTTTTGATGACAGATAATAGTTCATCTGATACCAACGGTGTACGACAAACATTAGGAAATAATAAACGTCGAGAGCAAATTGTTGCACAGCGCTGCAAACTTTCTACTTTTGCCTGTTCCACAGCTTTCGATGTATCCGGCTTAAAGAAAATAACTAAAAATCGCTATCACATCTCTGTTTAATATTTTTAAAAACCCTAGAAGAAGCATAAAGGATGAGATATGGATGTATTTATAACATAGGAAAAACAAACTGGTCAAAGAAATGTTTGCGATACTGAAACAATAAAGGATGTCTTGAAGATTTAAGTTATTACTCATATATATAATATTTTCTTGGCAATGCTAAAGAATTAAAACAGCTCATAACTAAAAATTCGTCACATTCAATAGAAGGCCTCATATCAAGCATATTTAATGTGACTTATTTAAATATGATTGGATAAATGGATTAAAAATTAGCTATTCTTATACAGGTTTATATACTTACCAAAATAAGAAAGTCATATAAGCCTAATTTTTCATCGGCCTGTTCCACTGCTACGGTTGGTTTCACTTGATCAATTTCAATCACTTCAACTTGAACTCGGTTGGTATCAATTGCGCTACCCGTATTACCCACACTAGCAGATTCCGGCTCCAATAACTTCACTTGTTGTGCTCGATTTATCTAGAAGACACAAAAATCTTAGCTAGTTTCAAAACACTTTGCAAATATTTATTAGAGCCAGAAACATGAAAAACTAAGAGATAAATAAATACATAGAATAAAAGGTTAGAGATATATAGATATTTTTTAAGTAGCATAGACAGCGTTTACCGGAAATGTTGCAGCAATATGAGTTTCAGGAAGTGATGTGCAGCCATTGTTCACCGTCCCAGTAGCCTTTAAACAGGTATCAGTTGAAGAGCGCGTTTGAGATAAAATTGTTGTGGACCGAAAAGCTGGCTGAAGTAGACGATTTATAAAAAAAATGTCCGCAGAAAAATTTTTTCCGAAATAGTCGGAACTCAAAAATGAAATTGGAGAAATCAACAATTTACTTTGAGTAAGGGAACAGCTGTGGATGAAGATGTAGTTGTTGGCTCTACTGTGGTCTGTTTTACTGACAAAAGTTTTGGCGATGTTTGCAGTGTTGATTGTCCTGCGACCTCAGTTGATGTCCTGGCAGCAGGAGTATTCTGTGAAGTTGTTGCACTGGAAACTAAAAGACGGTTACCAGCTACAGAATTTGGTTCACATTCACGAACTGTATGACCACCTGTACTATCAACTACCTGCAAAACATTATGAGTTGGATATAAAAAAAATACTAAATCTCCAGACAGATAACTTGATAAAAATAACAGAGATTTAACTTCAAAATACAATGCAACAAACCAGTTGATAAACCCGTGCATTACCAAGATCATCAACTGAAACATAGAGCTCATTTCCTCGTGGAATGCCTAAAAAATTGGAGAGTAGAAATGAAAAAGTGATAAAATTTAATAATTTTATATAAGTGGATAACTGGTATAGCAACATCAAAACCACATATTTACTCAACTTTGCGAGCTATAACTGTTATTGCTCGCTGAATGCAACATGGAAAAAGTTTCCAGAAGAATTAAAAAAATCTCTCCTACCCGCTGATGGCAGTGGAACTGGCATAAAAACTTTTGATCCTTCTCTCGTTTGCGGTTGTGGATGCAGCTGCTGCAATTCAAAAGTTTTATAGAATTGGAAATTTAATCTGTTCGCTTCAGAATCCGTCAAAAAAAAATTAGCAGTCATACAAAGATAAGCAATATGAATTGCAGAATGACAGAGAGACTTTATTAAACCGGAAAAGTGCAATAAAAGTAGCGTTACTGACTGGTGGTGGTCGTGAGAAATGAAACCCTCCTAAATTTGGCATTGGCATATCCACTGGGCTTGAAAGATAATCGTTCAACATTTGTTCATTAATAGCTAAATGACGTCCTTCGCTGCATGCAAAGAGAGAACCACAAGAAGGTGAAAATTTGAAAAGATCCAAAACATCTATTTCTTCGAGGTCTCTTCTGAAAATTTAAAATGAAATGCTAGTGCATGTTCTAGTTATGATTGGATAATTTGTATCGGAAATTTCGCTTGCAACACAATAAAAATTGGTTGAAAACTTTAAAACTTACTAACCCCTGACATATGTTTAACAGTATACCCGGCAAAGTAATGGTAAGAGGTTGCATCACAAAAGGTGACAATATCGGTCGCGGTTCAAACAAATTTGGATGGTTGCAACATTTCCGAAGCTGCATAACAATATTTAATACTGACATAACACTGCCTGATCGCAAATTTTCTCTCGTCCTAGAAGATTAAATGCAGAATCAACTAAGATATTACGTCTGCAATGAGTTAGAAAAGCTGCTGTTGACTTCACCTAGATATTCCAAATGCTGAACGCTTACTTGATGATACTGCATTAAGCCTCAAAGGGAACTCTTGATAAATTCAAGATACTAGCTGTCAAAATTTTTTGAAAATTCCTCAAAATTTCTAGAATTTATAATCCAACACTTTTCAATTCAACCGACAACATTAATACAAAATAAAATTAATACATAAATGTTATACATCACATAGATATAATTACAAAGTCTCAAAAACTCCTGATATCTATAGCTGATGGCAATTTTAATCAATTTATGCTCTCCCTTAAGTTATGTCATTTTTTTATTTCCAGTGACTCTCAAAGAGAACTTACGATCTCCTGGACATGAAATCATCATAAAGACATCGTTGCCGCTTCGATAAAGGACAATGGATAATATGTTCCGTTTTCTCAGGTAACTGCTTTTCCACATCGCTTTTCAGACGTCGCAAAATAAATGGCCTGAGTACCTGAAATCATTTTAAAGCTTTAAAGTTAATCGATTTCGAAAATAAATTAGTAAATGGGACAAAATTTTTAAAGCTTCAAAAATTAGTGGTGTAAGTTCTATTAAGTCTCAACCGTTTTCATAACCACACACGAAATTTTAGTGAGTCACTATAGTTACTACCCTCTGCACAAACAGGAAATAACCATTTGTTTATCTGCTAGTTGATACTCCAATCCATAAACACTTGGTTGTTAGCTCCTATCGATTAAGCCTTACTCAAGCAACAATCAGGAGCGGATTTTAAATCTGTCTCCAGCTTTCGGAAATATCAAATGAAGCCTTCAGAACGTCTTACCGGTTGTCACACTGACAATCCAAAAAGAAAAATTTAGGAAACTAAAACTTTCGAAGATACGTACTTTATGAAGTCTCTGTATTAGAGAAGCATTCCATTCAGCATTACCTTCCATCATATCATTTAGAGGATTACTAAACCAATCTTTGAAATCATTATGCGATGCAAAAATAGCTGGCATCAGAAAGTGCATAAGTGACCAAAGCTCCATCAAAGAATTCTGCAGCGGAGTACCCGTTAAAAGTAAACGACGGCGAGCTCGAATGTTTAACAATGTTTGCCAACGCTGACTTTTGAAATTTTTAATATTTTGTGCCTGTAAAGTTTTTTTTTTTTTTTTTTAAATTTAAAAATGCAAGTAATGCAATTTGGTATCTCGTCCTAATGATTCAGATGTACTTTAGTGGAAAGTATATGAAAATAAACATAGAAACTATTGATAAATTAAGTGGTCATAACAACATGCTTATATGTTGTTAGCAGATTTCTATGAATCTTATTTGCAAGAAAAATTTTACCTCATCCAAGATAAAATACTGCCAAGTCTTATGTTTAAATGACCGAATATCCTGCGTAACAATTTTGTATGAAGTAATGCAAACATGGAAAGCATTCATTTTAGACCAACCCTAAAAAAATCTCAATTTCATCATAATTATGATAAAATCAGTACAGCACTGATATAGCCATGGATAGAGTTGAAATAATAACGGAGTTGCTTATGAAACTCCTAAAAATAAATCCTACCTCTGCAACAATTAAGCTATAGACATCACTTTCTGCAACGAGATAAAAGAAAATAGAAAGGTAGCAAAAAGAACAAACCTTCCGCTTCTCAGCTCTCTCTTTTTGATTACCAAAATAAGTAAGCAATTTGAAAGCCGGGCACCATTTTTTAAATTCCATTTCCCAATTCAAGATCACTGACGTTGGTACAACAATAAGATGTGGGCCCCAAATATATTCTTTGCATGCCAAATGAGAAAGCAATGCTATTGTTTGTATTGTTTTTCCTAAAACATTTCGGAAATTTTTTTATGAAATAAAGAATTAAATAATTCAGATTAGAAAATATAATCTAAAATAAAATAAAATAAAATTATATACCTAAACCCATTTCATCAGCTAAGATGCCGTTCAAGCCATTGTCGTACAAAGTCACTAACCAATCCAAACCAACCATTTGATATTCCCTCAATGTGCCCCTAACCAGATATGGTACTTCTGTCTTTACTTGAGTAGTTTCCAAAGTGAATCCTTTTGGCTGAAATTTTAAAGCTTCCTCAGCAATATTCGCTAATTCCTTTTGTCTCTCTTCACTATTTTCTGATGTCAGCCGATCATAATTTATCGCAGCGCTTATAGCGCCTTTTTCTGCATTTTCCATGTGCGTAGGATCAAGCGTTTCTTTTTCTGATACAGATGAAATGCTTTGCGTAATGGATGCACTGTGACGTGTCGAGTCTTCCTCTGAAATAAAATTGCATTGAATTTTCAAAAAACGAAAATCTTAAACATATAAAAAAAGAAAAAATTAAAAAGTTTCAAAAGTAAACAAATATAATATTTAAAAACAATCATTGTGCCAAATACCCTGTGTGATTTCCGATGCTGTATATTCAGTAGAAACTTCGCTTCCTTCTGGGCGTTTGTAATCTGCAGATGTGCCCTGTGTCGATTCAAATAAATCTTGCTCATGCCTCGACTTCGAAATACTTTCCAAATACCCACGAGGAAGCTGAAATTAAAAGTTCTTCACTGGTGTGTTCCATAAAAATACAAACAGATTATTAGAAAACATTTCGGTCAACATTAATTTATTTTCCTTAACATGGCGCCACTTTTTTTTCGCCTAATTTTAGAATTCTACAACTTTGAAATATACCGAGTCAAGAAAATCATCAAGTTCAAGATTTCCTTCGGCCATCAATCCTTGCATTTCCTCCTCAACATTTCCATCCACTGCTTCAGCATCCGAAAGTGAAATATCATCCGAATCAGTTGAAAAACTTGCAGCATCTTCATCTAAAGAATATTTTATAAAACATCGCAATCCAAACTACGAACTTTACAAAATAAACAAAAATGCGAGAAAGAACGGCATTTTGTTGCACAATAGCAAGCATTACGGGATTAGAAGAGAAACTAAGAACGCATACCTTTGGTAATATCACCACTCCGCAGCGACGATGCTCTGCTTGATCTTTCGCCTATTAAACCTTCCTGCACCATTTCACTTAATTTATCAGCATGACCCACCATCACTTCCAGTTGCTGGTCTAACGCTTTTCGCTTCATCGATTCAATTATTTCCTGGAAATAGGTTCAAAGCTTGAACTAAAATTTTATGTGTTTCCATTCTTGATTAAAGAAAATTAATGAGCAGATTACACAGGTTTCATATTTCTCCGGAGGCAAAGGTCTTAATTCCAAAAATTACGAGTTTCTAGGAATAAAAAGTATAGATACAAAAACATGGTCAATATCTAAAGACCAAACATTACAAGATTTGAAAAAAAATTTATTTCGCAAGAAAATTACAGATACTACAGGGAAATAAAAGATGAAAATTCTCAACCTGTGCATGCAAATCAACCACTCTGTCAACATTCTGCCAGAAGTCTCGAACCATTTTTGCGATGAGCGCACATATGCGCTTTGCTTCTCGCACAGCCCGTTGCTCTGATCGTTCCTTTTCCTGTTCTCGATCTCGTAACATTCGGGCAATTTGAGAGGAGAACTATATAAGTAAAAACTATTTAGCAATGATTCAAAATTTGAGTAAAATAAGAAATAGTTTCAACATTCACGGGAGCTATTCTGTTACACTGAAATGTTAAAAAACTCGACTTACGAACCTTTTTTGCTGCTTGGCGCTTGAAAGTTCGTTCCTGACGAAAATCTATGGCCATCCAGCGCATTTCTTCCAGCAAGTAATCCCAATGTGTCTTATTTCTTGGAGGCATTTCAATCATTGGTAATCGGGAAGCTGTCCAGAGACCCTGTCTTCGAAGTTCGGCAATTCGGGCTAATACTTGAGCTTCCTAGAAAACAAAGAAGTAACACAACAAACGCAGATGTCGTCAACTTTCAATGCCTATTTGAACAGCCAAAAATAAATGGATTAGAATGGTTAAAGCAGTCAAACTGACATTACCGCAACCAGTTACATGTTAAAGTCGAAAAAATTTTTTCTGGAAACTGCTAATTACTATTTGAGAGCATAATGAAGCCTTCAATTTCTTTACTTGAAATTTGAATTGATCCCTTCAAAATTCAGGATTTTTCTAAAGTTGAAGACATAAAACTTGTACAGTTGCGTACTAAAATAACACTAAACAATAAGAAAACTAACTTGTTTAGCCACTCGTTCAACACTTGACTCTACTCCGGCCGCTGAGGAACTTCGAGGCGTAGAATGAGCTGTGGCTGAAGGTATCGACGATGCAGGATGTGCTGTAATTGTTGAAGTTGATGGCTGTTGCTCCAAATATGAAGAGCAGGGCTGTAAAATTTTTCGAAGTTTGCGAGAATTTCAATGGAAAATTATTTTAGGAGACTTATGAACACACAAAATCAAAATTCGTAGCAACATGAAAGCAGCTACCGATGCTGCGCTGTTTTCTTCCACTTTTATTTCAATGGGAGAAAGAGATGCTTCTGGTACATCCAAAACTGGTCGGACGTGTTGCTTTCGGGTGACAATATCTTCTGGTTTTGCTTCTGGACCTAACAGCGAATTAAGAGATATTCCGAGACTGAAAACATGAGAAATGAATAAATGACTTGATGCTGGATACGGAGTTTCGAATTCACAGCATTCGGATATTAGGTGAGAACTAACCTTCTGTTATTTAATGTACGTTAGATTTATACTGAAACAACTATTAAAATCCAGTTAAGGTTGCTACATAAAAGTAACAAAAACAACATACCTTACTCCATCTTCAAATGTCAATTCGCTGTTAACAATGCCAGGATTAATTTCACTCTCACTTTCATTTCCAATATTTGTCCTGGAACATATTCAGCGGACATACTCCTAACTGTAAAATTTCACAACGTATATATCTGAATTTCTTACACTGTTTAGAAATGATTACTCAAAAAAACTAACCTCTCTAATGCAACATTTCTTCTATTACTATGGATGTATCGCATTTGAGCCATAAGCCGTACTCCTAGCTCTATTTTCGCATCAGTTTTCCTTCTTGTGCTGACTCCTTCGCTTTTAGAACATCCCTCCATGGGATCGTCAGTATTAAGACGGCGCCGTCGCGTCTGGAAGAAAAAAACATAAGAAAATAAATAAATAATTGAATGTTTCGTAACAAAGGTTTAAATTCAAACGCTATTATAAACTTGATCTTTAAACAAAGACCCTGTTGGTATAGAAACTAATTTCTGTTAATTGGTAAAACTGTTGAGTGATAAAAAACCGACAAAATGGGAGATAAACCAATGTTTGTTCAACAGCACTACATATTCGCTACCAGGCGCAGAGTGACACTAAGAAGTTACAAACTATTTAAATGTTCCTTCAAAGCTATGCGGTAAATTCTCTGCTTCCTCTACAGTGTATTCAATATCAGTCGGTGTTTACAAAGAAAGAAAAAATACTTCACGAAGTGGCAGAAAATTCAAAATTTCAAAATAACACATGAATTAAAGTACAACTCGCTCGTAGAATGGCGAACCTTCGTAGAAGCGAACGGTATTTCATGGCAAATTCTTTAAAAGAAAAAGCCGGAACCCTGAAGTAAATTGTTACATCAAAGTGAAATAAGCTTCAAACTTACGGGAGGTGATGTGTCGCCACCGGATGAGTCCATTGATATCATGTCATCTGGATGCATTGTGCTTGTTGTTGCTATGTTAACGTTACGTCGTGAACGACGAATGGGACGTGAGATACTACTCATACTTGGCTGGTAGATGTCAAATTAACAATCATAACGTATTTTCACATTGACTTTTGCAACCCTCCAAAATCCTTCAATAACAACAAATATCCTTTCCTTTCCTTCACAAACAGTATTAAATTTGATGTACAATTTACGACACAAAGAACTACACCGAATCATTAAGTTGACTCTGACCTCTCATATAACCCCGCGATGGCTCATCCTCATACTAAGCTTTCATCACTAGAACCGAACTTCATCGAGCCTGTTTTGACCTTCTGCAACAAACGGGCATACTAACAATACCGTATCCCCTCCAACACGATGAGCAATTGAGCGTTATAAGAGTCATACCATTCAATACAACTAAAAATTCCCGGATTCAACACTCAGTTGTTTGCGTGGTTTTTTCTCTTTTCTTTCTTTTAAATTATTATTATGTAAATTAAATGCGTTGATTTAAAACATAAAACGAGAAGAAATTGGTTTTGGTGCATGGAAATGAGACATAACGATTGCTAAGAAGCGTATGATATAATTGAATATTGAGTGTTGAAGTGTGATTTTTGTTATTCAGGAATTATTGGTATAAATAAATAAAGATTGACAAGTAAATAAAGAAGTTTGTAAATTAACTAAGCAACAATTTAAGTAACTGATACCCGAAATTTTTTTGAATTAATTATATTTAAGCTTATTAAATATTCATTTAATACTATGAATATGTTATTAAGTGATATAAGTGTAGGTAATACCTGGTCAACGGAGCAAGCCAGAGAAAAGAACGATAAAAGCGCTAACAGCTGCAAAAGGTTGTTTTTAGTAACAGAGAACAATAGGGAGTGTTTTGAAAGTGTTTTAAGAGTATACTGCTTGAAGTGTTAGAATTGGACAGTATATTGTACCTTCATTGCAAAATTTATGTTAGAATTTGTTTTTTGAATAAAACAAATTTAGATTTTCTTATTTTACTTCTACTCATCTCTCGACTTTTAGTTTTTTGATCTAAGGTTTTTGCAAGTAAGCTAAAGCTGAAGTTCTTAGGATGCTGGTATTTAAATTTATATCTCAGCGTTTTATTTTTTGCAGAGATATGGCTTTAGCACTGTTAAGTGTCAACATTTGTCAGTTCAGTGGCTGCGGACTTAACTTTGGAAACCTCCATGATTTGCTTCAGCACATCGAGGAGACACATATCCGTAATTTAATTTGTTTTATTTTTTTTGTTTTGTTTTTTTTTTTTTTTTTTTTTTTTAACCTAATAAAAACTAGTATCATGGGGTTTTTTTTTAGTTTTAAAAATATGAGTCTGTCATCTTTTGCTCTCAGATCTTCTAGTTGTCCTATCTGATCCTGTTCCTATTCCGTTGTAGTGAAAGAAAAGGATTAGTAAAGCAGGCATTAAAGCCATTAGGACAATAAATTTATCCCGCTACTTGAATGTTAGGTAAAACTTCTGAATTAAAATGGGAAGGTAAGCTTTTAACTTCCAGCTTTACAGGAGTGAAGGACTGAATAATAGCATGCTGTATGTATACTTGAATAGAGCGAAGTGATAGTGAATGTTTGTTAAAAAAGTAATATTGACATGCAATTGGTATAATGCAGATAATGAATGAATACATATTTGATCTTGACTTGTAGACTTTGAATTTCATTAGTTATAATTGCAGCTATAATCGAGGATGAAATGAAGAAGAAAGAAGAAAATGCTAAAAACTCTCTGGACGATGATCCTTCGAAAGCTGCGGCATTAACCGCTGTTTTTCCAATAAGCACAATTTGCAAGTAAGCTCTGTGTTCAAGTTTCAAAAATATTTTGCCATTAGTCGACTGAATTAGATGTGCTTGTTTTGTGAAGTTTTATGATTAAGCATTATCTCCTGAAACCTGTGTTTCAAAAATAGAAGGATTTGTCTGTCTTTAATGAAGGATTAGAAATAAGATAGAAATGTTTTTGAAAAATCCTAATTTATTATTTTCAGGTTATTTTCAAAACTTCCTCCTCATAAAGCAGTTCCGATTAATCCCGAACCTGTGAAGCTTGCGATTGGCCACTACAGGTTGTAATTTCAACTATTAAACTTTGATAATATCTCCACTGCCAGAGATTGCAGCACTTCCCAGTGAAAGTTGTCTTAGATCTTATCCTGAAGTGTGCTTCACTTTGGATTTACCACTTGCTTGCGCTACCGACGTACGAAATGATCGTATTTCTTTCGTGAATCATTCCTTTTTTAACATTAAATACAAATGATACTTTTAGACCAGTTCCGTGGTTTTCCAGGAAAAAAACATTAGCGTCTGCAGTTGTCGGTGCGAATGTTTTTGGACAAGCTGGAGACAAATCACGTTTTGGTAACTTACTAAATTCTAATTTGTTGTTTGTGTTGTCAGTTGTTACTTTATTTATTATAGAAATGACCCTGTGAGCACTAATGTTGAAAATTTAGGAAGTTTGATGTTACAGACTTTCTACAAAACTGAAAGATTATTGATCTATTGTTAGTGCTTTTTTCTAAGGAATAAGAGTCAGAAAATTGAAATGGTTTTATTTTCGAAGCTATTCCTACCTTTTCAGATCAACATGATGAAGAATCAAATGACATATACAGAAACGAGGACTGTGATGACTATGAGCAGGGGTGAGACTTAATAAAAATTCATATTATCTTGTAGTCTCATAAGAAGCATTTTGTGGAAGGGTCCGAGAACCTTGTAATATTTTTTTGAAGTCAGTAAAGGGTACTTTCTTTGGCTACCAGAATTTTAATCTACTTTGTGTAAATAACTTATAAATGACATCACAAAGCGTAGATATTAGGACCCAAAAGATGGTAAACTAGAGAATGAAACCAAAGGAATATGATAAAGATCCGAAGCGATTTTGAAGTGCAGATCGATCATTTGACTTTGATTTAGAAGTGAAAGACTAATCGAACTATTTTTCTGAAGTTTCCCTTAGGATAGCTGGAATACGTAATAAAGTAGTTATATTCACTCAAACAGTAATATTCCGTCCCTATTTGAATTTTTCTTCGAATTTCTTCATTTATCAAGTATTAAGTTGTTTAAGTTTCGTGTTATTGCATTTCATTTCAAACAAATAGCACGGATGAAAGGCGACACAAATGTCCAGTTGAAGGATGCAACAAACGATACAAGAATCTGCAAGGAGCACGTTATCATGCGCGTCAAGTACATGGCTATAGTGAGGATAACGGCACCAATAATGCAATATCGTTTGACTTGACTGCTGTGATGCCTGGACAAGTTGCGCCACTGATTCAGTCCGGTGCACCTAGTAAATATGCAAAGTTTGTTATTTTTTTGAGAAAGAAAATATAATTGATTAATGATTGATTTTAACAAACTTAATCTTAAATTATTATTTGTAGTTTGCGTCCTTACAAATGTAGTCAATGTTCGAAGCGTTACAAAACTACTGTTGGATTAAATAACCATGTGCAACAGTCACATCAACGTATTAATAATGGTAAATGTTTTTCCACTGCATCATTAGTTTGTAACTCTTCAATTAATTAAAATGATGAAGTTGTAGCTGGAAATCCTGCTATGTCAACAAATTTAGTACCGGTTTCGCCTTCAGCTGTCTCAGTTTCAACAACACATAATAACGTTGCATCACCGGCGGCTTCCACTTATGTACATATTTGAACTTCTTATTGAGCATACCTATAGTTCAGAATGATGCAGGCCTACCAAGTCAGTTCGCGTTGTTTTGCAGTTTTCAGCTCCAGATTGATGAAATTAATGTTCTATGTATAATGCAATGAATAATGCTGTATGTAAAGGCAGGAAAGAAAACATAGCATAAGCCATTTTTTCTGCTTTCGTAAAGAAATCATGCAAAACTGATTAATTGTAGGTGTCTCCTGAAGGTGATGAACATGTAGCAGTACCATCAGGTTATTTGACATCGACAGTTCAAAACGCAACGCAAGTTCGAATTAACACACAGCCTTTGCCGTCTCTTGCACCGGTTACTGGACAGCAATACCAGCAGCAGGTACGTTGCTACTTAACTGGTATTGCTTTTAATTTTTCTTTCTTGAATTCAATTTAGGTTCAAACTTCAGATGTCTCAACCTACTAATGTAACAAAGCTTGTGTCGACAGTTAATGGTATGATGACGAGGAATATGAATGCTCTGTCATCATATGGTCCACCAACAAGTGAATCGCTGAATCCAGTCATATCTCGACCGGATACGCCACAGGTCACTGATTTTTGTGTTCAAATGAATAAAAGGCACTAAAACAAAGAAAGGTCTCTGGTACATTTCATTTTGAAATATACCACCATTCTGACACTTGAAAGGTTCCTATCCTCTCCATAACATCAACATTTCATATACAAAAAAAAAGTATTTTAGTAACGCAAAAATTTTGTCTAGATTACGTCAAATGCAAAAGTTTGAAATAAAATTCATATTTTAGAAACCAAATCAAGTCGGATACAACAAATAGGACATCAACAACGTTTCATTTGTTTTATTCGCTGTTATTCTTTCGGCAATGTAGTTGGAATATGTATAAAATCATTATGTATACATGAACAATATTAATAAAATTATTTAAACGCTCGAAACCTTCGGAATAATGGATGTCTATCTTCATCTTTGACAGTTCTTGTCTTCTGCGTATAGGAAATAGAGTTGCTTCCAGAGAATGATGAAAACGAGCCTTCTTTTCTCGTTGTCTGCAAAATAAATAAACTAATATTTGCGAGCAAGTGATGAAAAACATAACAAACGCCAGAGTGAAGATAACAATCCGAAACAAAAGAAGTGACGTGGCTTTTCGTATTTTTGGGCTTATAGCTGATACTGCAAGAATCTTGGAGACAGGATCAGTCACGAGAATTAGTAGAGAAATTAAATCCAACTTATAGTCGAATATTGATAGACATGAAGAGATATGCACATTAATAGCTTATATAAAACAAAGACTTTTCTAACTTTTACAAGTATGAACTCGGATTCAAGAAGTATATC